GCTCCGACCTCCACAGCTCTGTCTCAGGTACAAACTGCTTTATCCTCCTGGTCTTTAACGAGCAGCATGCAGGGCCACGCTGACCCTCGTGTGTTCCTGCAGGTCTGGTGGAGCGTGACCTCCAGTGGCAACTGGGAGTCAGGGAGCACGTCGACAACCAAACTCAGAAACATCTGTCCATGATGGAGACGGTCTCTGCTGAAACTCAGAGCCTCAGTCAGGTGCAGCTGAAATGTAGCTTTTAAAGTAGAACTTTTTAATCTTTATTTACTGAGTTTATTTAGTAGCAAATATTAGCTCTGGTTTGTTTCTTATGAATCCTGTTTTAAAAGGGAGGAAATAAGACTCATAAACAAGTGAACTAATCCATTTAGACCTTTTTCATCAGAGTGTCGAGACTTGCTGCACTGAGCTGCTCCAGCAGGCTGATCAGCAGCTGTCCACTCGTCAGGAGGAGGTGAAGCAGGCTCACACAGCTGTGCTGAACCAGACCTCTGTGGACTGGACGGTTCTGGAGCAGCAGAAGCAGGAGCTCGAGGACCACATAGAGAAGAGCCAGCAAATGGTCCACACCTTCCTGAGGGATGAGCTGCAGCAGGACGTTCCCACCGGTGAGACTTTTAGCCTCCAAGTCCAACATATAAACTCTTTGTATTCATCAACTACAACACAGAAAAAGTTCAAATCAGGTTTCTGAAGACGTGGGGCAACCCAACACCAGCACCAGGCAGGCAGATATTATAATATAGACTGTGTCAGTATAGACATGTTGATGAGCTAAACACAGGTAAAGTTTGGAAAAACCTTTAGAAAGTTTAGACAGCTCTAAGGTTTGTGTGGCTTCACCCTCTGAGTTTACAATTCTGTGGTTAAAGCTCCAAAATCATCAAGTTAAACTACAAATGATTAGTTTGCTTCTGTGAAATATCCAGACACAATACTGTAACTGTTGTCTCCACAGTTTGTGAATTTTATTTACTTTGTATAAATTCCTGTTTCAGCTGCATGTTTTACTTTATTTTTGCCTGRGTGTTTTTTAAATTGTACAAGTAGTGGAGCATTTGTGACCAACAGAATAATATTCAGGCTSTTTCACTGTTTGTTTTGACACCTTTAATGATAAAATGATCTAAAACTCATGTTGTTGAGTTCAGGTGCGACCCCTCAGCGCCGGGAGTTTGTGTACCCCCGACAGCTGCACAAGGCCAGGAGGCGCAGCGAGCTGCTGGACAGCCTGAGGAGGCAGCAGGAGGAGGAGCTGCAGGCGGCACTG